AGCAATCACCTTTTAAACTGACAACGAAGATATTAAAGGGATGGGTAGCTTCTGCCTTTTAAGATCAATTATCAGCAATAAAGAAATTGCAGACTAGCACTCAGTATAGTAGCAGTGAGGGACTTAGAAATGATACTTAGATACCATGCTGTGTCTATACCTAAAAAACAAAAGTGAATCATGCAGGCAATGGTTTTCTTTGTGATGCTCTATGAAACTGAACATTGAATTTGAAAAAGCAAGACAGAAACAATATTTATGTTTTTAAACTGATTTCTGAGAAGACTCCTGAGAAGACTCCACGTGTAGTCAAGAAAATAAAGAAATGCATCTTTATATAAATAAACCCAGGGTTCTTGTTCAAGTCATGCATTATAAGCTTAAATTATCGTATTCTGGAAACATTCTGTAAATATCTAGCTTTCTTGTTAAACCTATAATACTGGGAAAGGTAGAAGGAAAAAGAAAAAGATGATCAATAGCAAGGTGGACGAACTTAATTCAGCTGCAACGGATGCCCCACTGGAAGACTTGAAGAACCAGGTTGGGTTAGGGTTCTTCATGGAGAAAATCTATATGGCTGCTAAGAGTTGTCACCAACTTGATGGCATATAATCAATTGATCAATCATGCTAAAATTGCATATTTATTCCTGGCATTTCAAACACTCATTTTGGTCACTTTCCCAGCAATGATATGAATAAAACAGCTGAAGAGTGGCCCACACTACTCATTCCTGAGATATATACTTCTTTACAATTAATATATGGTTGCTCTATAGCAGTTGCTCTGGAAACCAAGAAATCTGGACTGTATTTCAGTGCTATTTAATCCAAACAAATATACAATCTAATGCCAAAATTCACTTTTTTTTTCAAAATTATGTGACAGAAAAAATGTGTATAAAGAAGCATGAATTTAGAGACAAAATGCAGAGAAACCCATATATGTAAAAAAATCACTTGTGCATAATTCACATATAAGTACAGTATATTAAACACATTTTGAGAAATGTACATAAACATTAACACAATTTTTGTGTATTATTTAAATAATAAAATGACATGAATTATAGGTTGAAACAAATTTGAGTGGAAAAACTGAGCAAAACTCTAATTCGTATTCACCCAATTTTACACAAACCCATTCAACATGCATATAGGGATGCTCTTGTGATAAACTAAAGGCTGCTATGCATAGGACAGATCATTAGTTTTAAATGATAGATTCAGAAACATACATGTTTTGCATGTACAGCTGGTCCTCGACTTACAACAATTTGTTTAGTGACCATTCAAAGCTACAACAGCACTGAAAAAAGAGACTTACAACCATTGCAGCATCCCCATAGACATGTGATCAAAATTCAGAAGTTTGGCAACTGACTCATATCTACAATTGCTGCAATGTCCCGGGGTAATGTGATCACCTGTTGCAACCTTCTGACCAGCAAAATCAATGGGGAAACCAGATTTACTTAACAACTGTATTACTAACTTGACAACTGCAGTGATTTACTTAACAAATGTGGGAAGAAATGTTCTAAAATGGGCCAAAACTCACTTAACTGTCTCACTTAGCAACATACATTTTGGGGTTAACTGTGGTCGTAAGTTGAGGACTACCTATATTTTGCCATAGATATATGAATAATGATAAGTTATTCTCAGTGTGAGGATAAAGCAGTCTGAATTCAGTTTTCATTTTACTTGCATGAAGCATAACTCCAATTTGTAACATTTAAAAGAGCCCAAAAGTTCAGGAGTGGCATCCCCAAAATAAATTCCACTTAGCTTGAAAACTCACATTTAAACCCCCCTCACCCATTGTATATGCCTCACCTCAGCAGAGCCTTAATTACAGTCATACCCCTAACTCATGTTTAAACACATCTCTGGGCTTCATACAGAAAAGGAGAGCATGAAGGACCTTCTGGGTGACCTTTCCGTTGCTGTGGAGATAGAGAAATCACTGAGGCAACCAACCTGCTCCTCCCCTCCCAGCATCCCTTGACAGTCACCATCTGCTGCTGGGTGAGTAATGGAGCTTGCCAGCCTGGCTGCAACCCCAGGTTGACCAACCTAACTATTCTGGCCAACACACAGCATCTAGACTTGGCATTCCAAAATATTCGAGTTCCTCCTTAACATGCAGAAGTCAGAGGAAGAAAGTTAGCCGTGTTCACTCATAAAGCTAATACTGGGTTCTAGTTTATATGAAGATTAACAACAAAAAAAACTCATGTAATTTTCCTCTACACTGGATCAGCCATAAAGATTTGAAACTTATGCTTCTTTTAGATTTGCTGCATCTAAAAGCTATATGAAATGATTTGCTGGAATAAGCTAATTCTTTTAATGATGGCTTGAAGTGGACTTATTTTAGGAAACTATTTTGTTAGCCTTGTCTATCACAAAACATACCTTATTAGATTTCAGGAAATTATTAAAAAGACTTTTAGGAGGTCATTTGATTTATAGTTATTACCATCTGTTTTATTTTTTTTACTTATTCTATGATTTCATCTGTGGTTTAATTTGGGGGTTACTTATTGTTTATTTTATATCACTTACTTGTACATATTAATAATGGAACTATAATCCACCCAGATATTTTTGAATGAGGCAGATAACCCCTCCCCCAATAAATAAATAAAATAATCTAAAATGGAATCAAAAGCCTCCAAATTCCTTGTGACTATCCTTGGAGAACATTTACCCTCATAATATTAAAACTTGATAGAGCAGGTCAGCCAGTGGGATAGCATTTTCTTATAATTGTAAAAAAATCCATCCAAGGAATAAAGACCAAAACTTTTTACATTAGCACAGCTTAATAACAAAACAACAAGTTGCATTAAAATGTTCAGAATACTTTCCTTTGGAAACTCACTGTCTTGCTTGCTTCTACTCTGAGGCAAAGTTTATGCTCAATATTAAGTGAATATGTGGTACTGGGCAGCATATATTAAACATATATTTTGTGTGCACATGTATGTAAACTTTAAAAAAATACAGCTGGATCTAGTGATAGATTTCCATATGTTATGCAGTAAACTGACAATTATGATTCTTAATTTAATAATAATAATAATAATAATAATAATAATAATAATAATAATAATAATAATAATAATAATAATAATAATAGTTGGAAGGGATCTTGGAGGTCATCTAGTCCAACCCCCTGCTCAGGCAGGAAACCCTATGCCATTTTGGACAAATGGCTGTCCAGTCTCTTCTTAAAAACTTCCAGTGTTGGAGCATTCAC